GTTTTTCCTATATTCTTAAATTTTCTTTTTAGTATTTCGGTATTTTGATTTTTAATATACTCTAAATTTGATTGTAAATTTGGATTTTGACAGATAAAAATGACAAAAGATTATATTCGTTGTTGGACGGCTTTTACTACTCAATTAGGACACTTTGAATGGTTAATTATGCCTTTTTGGATTAAAAAAATGTACACACACATATATAGCCAAACCTACATAGAAAAAGGGAAAGACAAAAACCATAGAAAAAGACGCCAACAATGAGGGGAATTGAATTCTTTAGTTGAGTCCCACAAAGGGCGGCTGCCATAGTATATATTCCAAATGCATTGGAGAGATAGAAAAAAGAAGGCTACACTAATAATATATACACACCGAAATAGAGAGAGAGGCACTAGAGGAAAAGAGAGAAATTGGCAGTTGAAAATAAATCAATTGGGCAGAGAAGTGGAAGAACATTTTGGTATTGTTTTGGAAGTCAAACATTGCGGTTGAATTTAATAAATATACAGCAATCACAGAAGCCAGAATTGAATGGATTATGGGGGTGTTTGGTATTGATTTTTCACCCTAAAAAACCAATTTTTTTTACCATTATTTCACTATTGAAGCAGTCTTTTTTTGACTATTTCTCCACAGGTAAGAGCCAATTTTCTCTTCAACAGTCAAATAATCAATTCTCAAATTCACTATCAAACAAGCCCTATATATATCATACACGAGCGGAGGCCAAGAAACATTGAGAAATTAATCACGTACCATCGATTCTCAGTGATGTCTTTCCACTTTAATGTGTTTAATTCCAATATTATGTTAGGCTAAGTCTTTTCATATATTGGATGAAAATGAACCCTTTATTATTTATTTTTAATTCAAGATATATGGTTTCGTTAAATTCTTGATTAATCTTGCATGTTTAATTTTATTATTTGATTGTTTGATCACAAATTAAATATAGGTTGCTTTTTGTAGTATTGGGAGGCTCACGATAAGTTAGAAGACTGTTTGATTAACATGCGTGCAACAAATTTTAGGGATAAAATTTATCACGTGTGCAATCTTTAAGATAATTGTGAAATTGAATGAATTCTATTCATTCGAATTCAGATTAGGAATGGATTTGGGTTGTGACTAGAATAGAATCAATTTGCCTTGAAAAAATAAAATTAATTACAATCGAATTATCGATTGTCAAGAATGCATGAACGAAACTAG